GCTCAGCTATGACACTGGCCAATTCTTTCAGCAGCCGTGGATGGAGGTCATCCGGGCCTGCTCACTTGTACCCATCTAGCTCAGCCAGGAGCTCCTTAACTGTTTCAGAACTAACCGTAGGCGGACGGGTGCCCTGTGGACATCCGTCAATGATCGAGGTGGGGGAATTGGCTTGGTCATTACTTAGAAATACTGAAGCGAAGAACTCATTGAAGAGCTCTGCTTTGTTCCCTGTGTCAACCACCAACTGTCCTGATCTGTCCTGCAGGGGCCCTATGTTGCTCTGAGCTTTCCTTTTGCCCGCTATATACCTGAAGAAGGACTTTTTATTGTCCTTGATTGTTGAAACCAGCCTGAGCTCAAGCCCCGCCTTGGCCTGTCTAACTAATTCCCTGCAATAGCGCACCAGGGAGATATATTCCTCCTGGGTGTCTGCTCCCTGCTTCCATTGCCTATACATCCTCTTCTTTGCCCCCAGACTCTCCTGGAGTTCCCTGTTCAGCCAAGGGGGCTTTTTTGCCCCCTTACCTCTCTTCCTACGTAATGGGATAGACTCCTTTTGAGCTCCAAGGATCACTCCCTTGAGATACCTCCAACCCTCCTGGACCCCCATGTGCTCTATGTTCTTGAGTTGCATCCCCTCGCTAACTAGCCTTCTAAGCTTGCTAAAGTTGGCCCTTGTGAAGTCCAACACCTTAGCCCCACTAGTTACTTTACGCACCCTTCGCTGGACAGTGACCTCGACCAAGTGATGGTCATTATCTTCCAGGCTACCGTGAACTCACATGTTCCTCACGAGATCTTTTGATTTATCTCCCCTTGGTTCAGATTCCAGAGACACAAAGAGGTGCTGAGCAAGTTGAAGATGGAGGTGGTGATTTACAGCCCAGCTGCACTTTCCACATCTGGCAGACTGTATTAGGTTTACTGCTAATTATTGGTAGCTCTCTCCCCACACTACTAAGTAAAAAATTCCAGTATTACTGGTCTGTGGGAGCCCAGTGAGCCTTTGAATATCTGAAATGGGCTTGCCCCTGTGATAGCTCATCCAGACCCCACCTTTTTATTCATGGTAGAAATGGATGCATCCAGCACTGTAATAGGCTTGGTGCTCTCACAGTGATAGAACCAAAAGCAAATCCTGCATCCCTGCATCTTCTTTTCCTTCAAACTCACCTCAGAAGAAAGGAAATCTTGCAATCCTGATCTGAACTTATGGGCATCAGTTGCTTTTAGGATGTGGTGGCAATACTTTGAAGAGCCATGGCACAAAGTACAGGGTCTTACAGATCACAAACATCCAGTTGTCAATCTGGAACCCAGAAACTGGCACAAGAAGCAAGGGGGAGTTCCCACTTGTATATACAAAAGCATAGGGGTTAGAGTCACAAGTCAATGGGCCAAAGGGAGTGATCAGGTAAAAGGTAAAGAAACAGCAACATCATGGTAACAGACACTCACCTTAATTCCCTGCCACCCCCTTATACTTCCAGAAGTGTTCCCCAAACAAGGTTTTAACTGCATTAGCAATCAAAGAGCTGCAGCTGCTCCCAAGTGTGAATCCAGCTCCTTCAGTCCACAGTCCTGGCTGACTGAGCCAGTGGGATCTCCAGCCTCCAGTTACTCTTCCTTTTTCCCTTGCCTCCAGCCCCAGGGTATTCTGGAAGTTGCAGTCCAAACTCTCAGTGACCACAGCTCTGAAGACTGCCCCTGGTTCCTCATGTGGTTACACAAATTACATTCAGACGGCACTAGAATATTTGTGTGTGGCCAGAGCACTGAACAAGAGACAGCTTCACTGGGGTTGGCCCTTTCCATGTCCCACTTCGATTTTCAGGTCACATAGAAATGGGAAGGTGGATACTCTCTCCAAGAAGGTGGAATATGATGCTAACCGGGCACAGGAATCATTGAAGCCTAGCCCCTTCTGAAGCCACACAACATCCTTGCACCACCTGGCCAATGGCTCTGCAGTCTCAGCCACCACCTGGGAAGAAGTTGCTCTTGAAGAGCAGGCTGCCTTCACGTGACCACTTCCTGAAGTCCAGCACGGGATTGTTTTCACTAAGGGTAAGATTTACATGCTCCTAGGGTCAGCCAGACCCTAGTGATACTATGTTAATGCCATGACTTCCTGTTAGCTGGCCACCCTGGAATGGAGAAAACCCATCAACTAACCATCTGCTACTTTGGTGGCCACTCCTGGGCAAAGCCATGCAAGTGTTGATCTGCTCTTGTAACATTTACGCCTACATAATGAATCCCACTCAAAAACCCTAGGATCTCATCCAGCACCTGTTCGCTCCCTCTCAGCCGTGGTCCACTGTTTTGAAGGACTTTATTATGGATCTTCCCTAATTGATTAGGTTCTCTATGATCCGGATGGTGACAGACTGACTAAGATGGTGCACTGGTCCCAATCCTTCCCTCCATAGCAGTGGTGCCCTCTGGGCTGCCCGGGAGGGCTGCTAATGGGCTGGGTGCAGCCTCAGCTCAGAGGTAGCACCCAGCTTCATGCAACTATTCCCTTACCCCCGAGCCTCCAAGGTCGGGTAGCACCCGGCCCGCTAATGGCCAGCCCAGGTAGCCTCGAGGGTCACCACTGCCATGGAGGGAAGGCCTGGACCCCGTCCCCAGCTCAGGGGCCACTCAGCCAGCGGGCAGCTTGCCCCCCAGCTGCAGATAAGCTCTGGCAGTGGCGATGCATAGGGGGTGCATGGGGGTGTACGTGCACCCCCTGAGACCACCAGTGCACCCCCTGTCAGGCTGCACTTCCCGTTTAGCTGGCGGGCAGGGGGACAGACGGGAGCACCAGTGCCCACCCCGCAAGCACCGGCTCGGGAGAAGGACTGCCAGCAAAATGTAGGGAGGGGACAAGGACTGCCATGCTGCTTCCAGAAGTGGCTGCAGGATTTCTGGAAGTGGCGTGGCTGCTTTTTGGTGAGTGAGATCAGCCAATCACTGACTGGTGTCGGGAGGGCATGTGACCCCCCCCAGACTCAAGAGGCACAAGTTACCTGTGCTTTGGCTTCAACAAAAAAAAAAGAATGAAAGGATCAAGCCTCTTACCATGACATGATGGAAAAAAGGAAATGGTGGGTTTCAATTAAAAACCCACCATTTCAATTTAGGGGGTATAGAATAACTCCTTTGGGTGCTTGTACACTTGATGCAAGACCCAGCCCCTCCTCCAGGTGTGGGGAGCGGTGGGAGGCAGGGGTGGGGCTGCCACAAGTCCCAATGGCCTCAGCGCAGGGAACCCACCCCCCGCTCTCCTCCCGTGGGGCTGGGCCGCCAGGACAGCGGGCGGCTGCAGCAAGGGGAGGTGCTGCCCGTCCTGGCCTGAGCCTTGCAGGTGGAGGCCGAAGCTCTGCACCCAGCCCAGCTGCATCATGGCAGAGCAGGTGGTACAGGCGTGCCGTGGTGGCATCAGGCACCTGCTCATCCTCAGCTGCCTCTGGTGCCTCTGTCTGGGTCCCTGCTTGTCCTCAGCTGCCTCTGCACGGTGTCTGTCCGGACCTGCTCTTGCCCATCCCGAGCCTTGCTCCTGTGAAGCAGCAGCGCAGGGTGGCAGTGCTCTGTCCCCACCTACCCCTGTGTCCCCCCTGGAACCTTTCAAAGTACCCCCAGGGGTATGTGTCCCCCCCAGTTGACAACCTGTGGTCCTGGGAATACTTCTTGGGAAGACACCAAGATGTCTGTCACCCTCATTAACCCTCCAGAGGCAGAATTCTGGGTTCAGGGGGAACAGCAGCAAACTCAGATACTTTCTGAGCCCCATGTGTGGTCTCGCAGGTGAGTTTGTCCATGCCTTTTAGGCCACAGAAGGGTGCCTGATGTCGCCCTAAGCACCAAGCCCTTTTTTTGAAAGCAACTCACTCATTGCTGAAAAGTGTGAGCACGTTGACCATGACTTGCTACAGGAAATCCATGCTCCATGCTGCAGCCCAAAGTGTAAACTTCCTCAGTCAAATGAGAAGTCTAGGGTGCCATGCAAGCTGCCCATGGCAGTACTGGACCTGCACGCATTGCCACACCTTGGCCCCACCCAGCACACAGGGCTTGCCAGCGGGTGTGCACCAAAGGGATTTTTCTCCTCTTCAGTCAATCTTGGTGGGGCTTTCTTTTTGGGGGACCTTGGGTTTCCCCCAGTTCCAGCACTGCCCTAATGGCTCCTCCTGACACTAGCCAACCCAGCTGACCCTGATATTGTTTCCTCATCTCTCCTGGGCAGCACCATCTCAAGCCAGCCTGCCCAGGAATGACCCCGCTCCACATGCCGTTCTGGCACCAGGAACCCAGATACTTTCAGCTCTCCATGCATGGTCCTGCAAGTCTGCCCAGGGGTTTAGCAGCAAGGGACCTTTCCTGGGGTTTCCCCTTGGCTGCATCCTGGTTTCTGTTCCCCTAATGCTGGAAAATGGGCTTCACTGAGCACTGCCCATTCTTTCCTGAGGTCCAACTTCAGGGATTTCCCCGGGTTCCCCACTGAGCCAGAGATGATGGCAGGTGAAGCCAGCCCTGGTGGTTCCCCAAGCCACCATGCAACCTTTGACATCCAGGTTTCAGAGGTCTCCCTAGCATGCACCCGGGTTTGGAATGCTGGTTGATTGCTCCGGGCTGCAAAATGCACTTTTTTGGGACCCAAGGGGCCCTCCAGTTCCAGCATTGTCTTGAAGACAGGAGACCCTTATAAATGGCACCCTTTCAGAATGACCAGCTATCCAACACCTTTTTCTGAACCCTCCTTTGCCTGCACTCTGAATTTTTAAACCAGGTTGCTTATCAGTGACAATTGATGTGTTTTATGCAACCAGGCATAGCTACCCTGCAGGAAAATCTGGGGTGCCTTGTGTACCCCAAATTAATCTTCTGTGCCCAATCAAAGTGTGTCATCCTGACACTGTTTGACATAGCTGTTCCTATCAGTGTTTCCTCATCTGCTCAACCCAGACTGCCCTTCAAATTACTTTGCTCTACACCTTGGTTTGGTGCCAAAACCTGCTACTCTCCTGTGCAACATGTCTTGTCTTCTACCTTCACATAGACAACTGCGCAGGGTGGGGGCGGGGTAACCTATTCATGCAGAGGTCAGCTCAAGCTCTATAAATTGTGGCACCTGAACACTTGGGGGTACACCCACAGTCCCGACATGGTTGAGGAACATCAAAAGAAGACCAAACAGAGAGCGCAGAAAAGGTCTAGGTCTGCATGGAGCTTTAATGAAGTAAAGAGCCTTGTCCATGTTATGGTGCAACCAGAGGTGCTTCTTCAATTCATGATCAGCCCGAGAGCAAACTGGCACATTTACTGCAATATCTCCAGCAGAATGGTGGACTGCGGACACAACCGAAGCCCCGAACAGTGCCGTGTCAAGGCAAAGTCGCTTTGTGCCAAGTTGTGTAGGGATCTTGCCTAGGCAGAGCACCTGGGGACCCCTGTAAAGCATGTTCTTCACTATCGGTATATGCATCCGGTGACAAAAGTACTGGAAAGGTGTGGAACGTGAACGACTGCGACCACCAGGGCATCCTCTCCTGTGAGCAGCTTCAGTGTTCCCGGCTCTCCCACCCCACTGGCCACCTGTGCTGCTGTCAGCGACTCGAGTTCAGAGCACAGCAGAGCATGCAGGGACAAGTATGCACTCATTAGAGTCCTGGCTTCGGTGCAAGACACGTGGGTGTAAGCCCGCTGTGCCCCCATGAGCCCAGCGAACCCAGGACCCCTGACGAGCCCCGGCCTGCCCCAGGTAACAGGGGCCCGTGGAGGGAGGGACCTAGTCAGCTGGGAGTGGGCTAAGTGGGTCAAGGAAGGTCTGGCCCCCCCAGCTCCTATTTTGCCCAGCCCCGCAGGGAGCTGCACGACCAGGCTGCAGAGACAGGTGTGCTCCTGGGCCCGGCGTCTGAGTTAGCGCAGGAGTTCGCGCAGGAGGGCGAGCAGGAGCACTCGAGGCCCTGCCTGTGAGCCCCCCAGGGTAGACAGTCCCAGCTGTGGCCACCCACCAGCAGCATGACACGGATGGGCACACACCGCACCCTGAGGGTCCCTTTGGGGTCTGTGCCTCCCACTCTGGCACCTCAGAGACAGCCACCCAGACAGAGCCCACGGTCCCAGGCTCCACGTGGACGGAGCCCTGGCTCTCGGCTGCGGGGTGCCTGTCCCTTTTTCAGGCTCTGGGGCCTGGGAGCATGGCCACCTCCCTTTGTGGGGTCTGCTCCCTGCTGGGGTCTCTGGCGCGCCAGCTGGAGGAGCTCCAGGCCACAGTCCAGAGTCTGCGCGCCGTTAGGGACTGCGAGCAGGAGATCAACTCCTACTGCCAGGCCCTTCTCCCCCAAAAGCCGGAGGGTAGACCACGGTCTCCCTCCAGGACAAGGGAGGACTCGGGGACCTCCCCTTCTGTCCAGCCCAGGGCTTGGCCCAA